TTTCTAAAATAATTTTCACACTCCATTTTTTAATCAGATGGCATTTATTTCTGGATATAGTAAAGTGAAGAATTTAATTTTCCTTCTCTTGCACAGTCTTTGTCCCACGCAGTCTACCAGTACGTCGGGCTGCAATAAGACCAACTTTGCGACCAGCAGGAGCATCCCTCCTAATAGTCGAAGGCTTACCGATGTGCTGATGGTTACCACCACCGAAGGGATGTTCCACAGGCTGGGAAAGAGAAGCAATCAAAATCAAGGACAGAACAGGAAGGTATTTTAAATATTAAAGGAACTTAATTAAAAATTCCATTAGGCAAATGACATTGTTAATGTTACCAAACTGAAAACAAAAGATTCTGACAGTAGTCCATTGCAAGCAAGAACCAGCATTAACAATTTTTAGAAAATGATTCAATCTGCTGGAAGAGAATATAATATCTCTTGCTTTCTGCTTTTAAAACGTTAAATTGATAGCCATGTATTAGCTTTGATCTAAATGTTGTATTACCATTTTATATTATACATTTTGTTGTATTATATTACCATTCGGGACTTTAACATCTTGCAAACAATATAATAGGTATTACTGTGTAAGTATAGAATTCAATATAAAATACTAGTTATGAGTAAAGATTTAAAATAAAGTATGAACATCAACTTCACAATTAGGTTTGAGGGAGGAGACACATAACTATCGTTTCCCCGAATAAGACCTATCCTGAAAATAAGACCTAGCATGTTTTACATGTGCGCCTAATATAAGTCCTACCCCCAAAATAAGCCCTACTTAAGTGCCTGTGCAGCCACTCGCCTGCCCATTCTATCTGGTTGCTCGCAGTGCCAACATGAGGTGACGCGAGGGGGGTGAAGCTGGCCCATGCACTGGTTTACATCAGGGTCCCTGCAGCCAGGCTATTCACGCCCTGACAACTGCCTCACGGTGGCAGCACTATCAGTTACAACAGAGCCGACATGGCCGCTGGCTCACTACTTCTGCTTGCTCACAGCCACAATGGAACAGGCTAAGTGAGGTGTTGGTGCTGCGGCCATGAGATAAGGCAGAGGTGGAGCTGTCCCATGCGCCCCGTACCAGTTTATCTCAGGCCCCCCACAGACCTGCCATCAACGCCGCAACAACTGCCTTGTGGCTCCACCACCAGCGTGTCACTTGGCCTCCTGTGGTTGCGAGCAAGAAGTGGGCTGGCGATCATGCAAGGTCCTGCTGGATAGGGCTGCTGCCGCCATGAGGCAAGGCAAGTGTCAGGAGGTGGGTAGCCTGGCTGCAGGGGCTGAGGTAAGCCAGTGTAGGGCGCGCCGGGCAGCTCCACCTCACCAATGGTGCACCATATGGTTTCCTGCCTGCTGCACGCAAGCAAAAGTGGGCCTCCATACATGGGGGTGGGGGTGGGAAAGACATCCCTGAAAATAAGTGTTTAGTGTTTATTTTGGAGCCCAAGAAAATAAGACTGAGTCTTATTTTCGGGGAAATATGGGTAAGTCAAAACCAATCTTTCATAAAACTATATTATAAAAAGTCTTCTCTATTTTCCACTTCCTTCAATTTTCTTTTTATCCTCTTTACCAAATAACTTAAGAGCTAGGGATGTGCATCAAAGGTGGCACCTTCTTTAAAAAGCAGTATCTTTTGTTGGCTCAAATAGTAGTGGAGGAATCCCAAGAAAATATGCATTTAAGATGAGGTCCTGAAAGTATGTAGACAGGTACTTTAGGAAAGTTCTGTCCAAAGTTCATTCCTTCCCCCTCCCCTGGTAATTGATAGTAAAAGAGCTTTTGGAGCAGGATTGATCTAAAAAGCAGCAGCTTATGTAGATCAAATTTTGTGCTGGAGACTAAGCTCAGATCATCTGCAAAGATATCACTAATTTTAATTGAAAATAAAAACACATTCTTCCTTTAGGACCAACATAAAATTATTTCCAGTAAGACTATTTCTGTAGTATATGCCTATCTTCCTAGGCTTGTTAACATGCAAACCCAAGAAAAACTGCAGCTTTGTTAAGATGTTGACAGGTAGTGTACAGATCCATGTCCCCTACGAGACTTTTTCTTTTTAGGCAATGTATCAAAGTAAAAAGCATGTTAGTATGATAAATACAAAAACTACATACATTCATAGCCACACCACGGACTCGTGGCCAGCAATTTCTCTTTGCTTTGTATTTGTGGTAGGCCCGCCCAGCCTTCAAGATGGGTTTATCAATACGACCACCACCAGCAACAATACCTACAAGAATATGAGCAGTACAATTACCACAAAAGATAATCTCTAATGACATTTTTTGCAAACACTTACTAAATTCAAACCTACTTAGTTTGTCATATTAAATATCAGCATAACTAATTTTTTTCTGAAATAGGAAATTACCATTACATTTTCATAACCTTTATACTGCCAGTGCCATGCCATGTTGCCCTAGTGCAGTGTTTCCCAAACTTGGCTATTTTAAGATGCATGGACTTCAACTCCCAGAATTCCCCAGCCAATATGCCTGGTTGAGGAATAGTATGCCTGATTGAGGAATTCTGGGAGTTGAAGTCCATACATCTTCAAAGGGTCAAGTTTGGGAAACACTGCCCTGGTGTAAACTTCAGATATTACAGCTTGCAACCATATATTTAGGTTCAGAAATCTTAGGGGTAGTATTTACCAACAACTGCTCGATTTGCAGAAGAGATCACCTTCTTAGATCCAGAAGGCAGCTTCACCCTGGTCTTCTTTGTTTCAGGATTGTGGGAAATAACAGTGGCATAGTTTCCAGAAGCTCGAGCTAGTTTTCCACGATCTCCAGGTTTCTCTTCAAGACAGCAGATAATGGTGCCTTCTGGCATTGTTCCAACAGGCAGGACATTGCCAATGTTGAGCTGAGCTGAAAGGAATGCATCTGCGTGAATGAAAATGCTCTTTACAATACAGTGACCTCCGGTTACACAGGAGGAAGAATCATGTTGCTCTACAGCAATAAAATAGTTGGCAAGTTTGGTAGCATCTTCAAGGCTAAGGGTGTAACCTTTTGAGAGCAGCAGATGCTCTTGACACCTGATCCCTAACAAAGATGCCTGACTTTGAAGGTCTGCCAGACTGTGTGTCTCTTTTCTATTTCTTGGTATTTTTCTCCAGTATCAACTTTTCAAAGTATGCAGATGTTACAAGAAATCATAAATGGCCACCAATTGTCTTTACTTACCTTTCTTGCCACAATAAACAAACTGTCCTGTATGAATGCCCTCAGCTGCAATGAACAGTTCTGTTCGTTTTTTAAACCTATATGGATCACGAAAAACAACTTTGGCAAGAGGAGCTCCTCGACCAGGATCATGAATGATATCCTAGAAAAACACAATTAATACTTGAGAAGTGCATGGCTTCAAAAATACAATTAACAATATTACAATTTTACTTAAAGAAATATTTACTTGTGCTCCGGCAGCTCAAAATGATGTTTTTATACCCACAAAATAATATTGCAAGGCGACAGAAACTAAGTACTTCAAGTGCCATGTTTTTAATACCCACTGCAATGATTATATTAGAAAAGATGGATATGTATGCATGTGAAAAGTTTAGATGCATTTTTATATTCTCACCCAGATATTTACTATATTTAAATAAGAACTTTAAATTCATAGTTTAATTCTTGTATGACACTCAAAAAACCTTTCAATCCAATCATCACTTTAAAAAGTCTGAAGCCTCTGTTCACTTTGATTTTAAACAAGGTATTTGTAAGTCTGTTCTCTTGGTATTATCTTTTTTTATTAGTAAAAACTGTTTTTAAACTTTAATAAAATTTACTTTGTTTCACAGGAACTTCACAACCTGACACTTGCCTTTACAATGCCCTTGATGTAGCCATGTCTTTCAGCAAAATCAATAGCCCTCAGCTTTGCTGCACCCTTTCTGTGTTTCACATGGGCCCTGAAAACAGAACCTGCACCTTTTCTTTGACCTCGTATTACACGGCCCATTGTGCACTGAAAAACAATTGGAATCAGTTATTTAGGATTTTTTAAGAACAAGTCCATTATTTAATATATACTATAATGTCACATATCATTAAAATAAAAACTATTAAGCTCCTGACAAGATCATAAATAAATCCACCTGTAGCTCTGGAAACTTAATGCATAACTTTAAACTAGCTCTTTCAGTCCTTTTAAGGTTGTTGGGATAAAATTAAAGATTTAATTTGCAATAATGTAAGACACCTTGAGTTCCTTGGGAAAAGCAGAATATACACTGGGTAAACAAATTAATTTGAAAATTGTTAAAACCAATTATTTCTTCAGGGCTATTTTTGACTTTCCAATCAAGTTCTATTGTACTGCTTGGGCTTTCCTGTAGTTGACCTTTCTAAATACTAATTGGTTCTAACTCTAGTTTTCTTGAGATCAACCAAATTCTGATCTTACAGTAACAATGTACCAATATTAGCTGCAGTGCTATCCATAACTCAATTTAAACGTTCCCTCTACCTAGTATTCCATTTTTTAAAACAAATTTCAAGAAATCTATAAACATTTTATCTTTCTGTATTTTCATTTACAGTGATTAAATCAAACCTAAAAGAACTATGGTCCTTTTTAATCTGATCAATTTATCATTTATGCATCCCTTAAACCTCCATTTAAAAAGATTCAAGGAGTTAAACAGTCATTGGTTTTTTTAAACATAAGCCTAATTTTTTGAGAGTTCCAACTCATTCTGTGGACATGTGATCTTAAGAGAAACTGGTGTTCTTTTTCTGTTAACTTGAAGTTCTTCGTATGCAGTGGCAGTATGAAAAAGGAATGTAAATGTTGATCAAAAGGTAAAAATGATTAATGAGCAGTGGATCAATTGTGAATTATCGTTTAATAACTGAAGGTTGAAAAGCTGACATGCTGTAGATGAAGGGCTTCAAAAACAGCTCGGAACGAAAATTAAAAAAAGACTAGAAGATAAACTTTTAAACAAATCACAAACAGAAAAGCTCTTCGCCATATTTCTCCAATGTTGCTCGTGGCCAAAGAGGACCGACGCTCCCTTGCCGCGGAAGCTAACTAGCTACAGAGAGCCCGAAAATACCCGACCTCCGCTCTGAAAGGTTCGACAAGGTGGCAAGCAGCTCAATAATCCTCAGAGGAGGCCAGGAAGGGGTCACGGAGACCCGATGGAGACGGATACGCTTGTAACTCTCCCCCATATCAGAGACATTCTTACCTCTGCCGGAGCCTGCCCCAGGAAAAAGAAAGCTGCGGCAATGACGGCACTACAAACTCCTTCCGGCCAGGACGGAAAGCGGCAAGCCAAGCCTTCTCGTGCTTGTTGGGTAATGTAGTTCTGGTACCCAGGAATCTGAATTCGTTCTTGCTTGGTCGCTAACGTCTTCAGAGATGTGCTCCGTGCATTCAGTTTGCGTTCCGCGCAGAATGTTTGTCCTGTTTTCCTTTATTTCCCGTTGCTTTACTTACTTTATTTATGTATTTGTTTTGTTTGTTCATTCAGTTTTGAGGCCGCCCGATTCCTCAAGTGCTCTGGCCGATCTACGGATAAAAATTAAAAGAAAAGAAAATACATCAAGAAAAAAGACAGCTTCCCGGAGACCGAAACCCCGAAGCCAAAAATAAAGGGGCTCGATCGCCCATCCTAATAAACTGAGGCCTCAGAATTACATACAGCCCGCTCTGCAAGCCTTGAGTATCATCATGAGAACTCAACAACTCATCATATAGATCAGTGGTTCTCAACCTGTGGGTTGGGACCCCTTTGGGGGTCGAACGACCCTTTCACTGGGGTCGCCTAAGACCATTCGAAAACACATATTTTCAATGGTTTTAGGAATAATTTTATGGTTGGGGGTCACCACAACATGAGGAACTGTATTAAAGGGTCGCGGCATTAGGAAGGTTGAGAACCACTGATATAGATAATTATAATGATCAGTGTTGCAGAAAGAATACCCTTGAATACATTATTAATAGTATAATCAAATTTGACTAGTTTTATAATTAATAAAATGAAATCAAATTTCGTTTTTGTTGTGGCCTTTTCAATGACTTCTTGGGTACATCCATTCAATATTTGGGGAAAAGACAGATCAAATTGTTGGTTTTTGGTCTTAAAAGTCATGTCAGATACAGTTAAGGTCCATAATGACTTAAATGTTCCAAAGCAAGGTGTCTGTAAAAGATTCAGAGAATACAAATATTAATTAGGTAATAAACCTTGGCAATTCCAAATTGAATAAAGGTGCTGATCTATGTTTGCAACTATCAATTTTATCTATACATTATGTCAGATTACTTGTTTAAACTCTTTTTTAGGCCTTTAGTTCTGAATTAATTTATTTTGGGAAGATTTTGTCCTGAAAGGGAACATAAAAATAATTATTGCTTCATTGATTTGGACAATTGTCCCTTCATTAAAATACCCCTTTCCAAAGCCCTATATAAGAATGCATGCTCTCTGTATGTGGTGTACTTGCTATAGGACCATGCTCAGTTCTTGAGCTAATTTGGAATTCTATTATTTTATCACCATTTATAAAATTTGTCCAGTTTCCCATCATTACTGACCAGAGTCGCATAAACATTACTTTTACTTTTTTTACTCTTCCCATAAACATTACATAAATGTTGCTTTTTATATCATAATGCAAATATATTACTATTCCAATATAATTCTTTTCTGCATAGTTTCCTGTTGAAATTATTAAGTGATCTTATCCCACTCAAGTATGCTAATGCTTTATAACATTCTAAAATGCTACTGTTAGTGAGAATGTTATGCCTGATGGATAATTTAAGTAGATTTGCTACATAGCTCACATAATTTTATGTATAAATATCCTGATCTCCAATAACATGAGAAGTGAGTATGTGTGTCTGTTTATTTACAATGTTGGTAAATAACCTCAATCGGTAAAACTTTGGAAGTAAACAACAAAACAAGATTAGGAAAAATAAACAGACTAATAAGAACTCATTCATATTAAAGAACGCCCATAATCAGTTTGGTCCAAAAGAATGGTGGAATATATATATTTTTTTACTGCTAAATGATCTAGGTTAGGGGTGTCAAACTCAAGGGGTGTTTAGATAAGGCCCACGGGGCTGCCCTGAAAACAGCGAAGGACCATCCTGCAGTGCCTCTGCCAGCAAAAACCAAGCTTTTGCTGGCAGAGGGCTATAGGAGGCTGTCACAACCGAAAACGAGCCCAGGAGGGCCACACACGGCCACCCCGACCTCTGTTTTCACTGGCAGAGGACTGCAGGAGGCTGTCGCAGCTGAAAACTGAGCCCGGGATGGCCAAGCATGGCCATCCTGAGCTCCATTTTCACTGGCATGGGGCTGCAGGAGGCCATCGCAGCCAAAAATGGAGCCTGGGAGGGCCGTGCACAACTGTCCCAAGCTCCGTTTTCCCTGGCAGAGTGCTAGCAAAACAAACTACTAGCAAAAATGGCATTTGATCACATAAGTGATGTTGAGCTGGCCATGCCCCCCTGGCTCCCCTGAGGTCAAACACAACCCTGATGCGGTCCTCAATGGAATCGAGTTTGACACCCCTGATAAAAAAATAATATTGATTATACAATATAATACATTATTATCTCCATATGGGGCAACATACTGGAATTCAATATAATGCAAACACAAACAATAGAAAATAATCCAGTGTCTTAAACTTCAAAGGAGCTGATTTTAACAAACTTAGAGAGATCCTAGGAAAGATTCCATGGATGAAAATCCTAAAGTGGAAAACAACTCAAGAAGCATGGGAAACTCTGAAAAATGCAATCATAAAAGCCCAGTCCAATGCAATACCACTGAAAAAGAAAAACAAGAAATTCATGAAGAAACCAGAATGGCTGCACAAAGGTCTCTCAGACAAACTGAAAGACAAAAAGGACAAGTACAAAAAATGGAAAGAGGGACTCTTGATTAAGTCTGATTATCAGCAGATAGCCAGAACATGCAAAGATGAAATCAGTAAAGCAAAAGCTCAAATGCAGGCGTCTCTAAGGAAGAAAATGAGAGAACATTTCACATCAAAAGCTCACACCATTTGTAGAGACAACGTACAACAAGGGGAGCAGGATGCCATAACAAAAGCAATGGACAAGATATCTGAAAAACATTTAGGCACCACTTGTAAAATGTTCAAAACTGTTTGCAGCCTGGCAAAAGCATGTAGACCAATTTCAATCATAGAATAATTGATAGAATTGCAAACTGAATATGGAGTAGATCTGGGAATAGGATTGAATTCAAGGCCAACAGTTCTGAAAATAGTTGAGTGCATTGCAAACAAAATTAAAACCGAAATATTTACCAGCATTATTGCACAGAATCTGAAAATATGTTTGATCATTGACAAAGCCTCAATGGTATCCTGCAAACCAGTTGTGATAGAGCCCACCAACAATTTTTGTCGTGCTTGTTGAATTGAAGAAACAAGATGCAGAGACAATATGATCTTCAGTTCGGGAAAGTTTATGTAAGGTTGGGTTTATCCAGAACTACCTACAAAAAAATGTAATAATGTTTTGCTCTGATGGTGCCAGCATTATGCTTGGGAGAAAATCTGGAGTGAGCACTAGAATAGCAAAAAAGTTTTCAAACATCATCATATGGTACTGCTTGAACCATCACCTCCAACTCATTTTAGATGACTCCATAAAGGAAATAAAGCACGTAAAACATTTAAAAATATTTATTGAGAAGATATGCTCTATTTTTCATCAATCCAATAAGAACCGAATTGAACTTGATGAAATATCTGAAGAACCTGACATTGACATCATAAAGATTGGTAGAGTTTTTGGACCAAGATGGGCTGCCTGTAGTTTAAGGGCAACAATAGCTGTGTGGCATGTTTATCCAGCATTACATCAGTATTTTCATGCAAATTCAAAATACTCAAGTATCGCTGCCCATCTGGAAAATAAATATTTTTAAATATTTTTGGAAGTTTTAAAGAAGAGATTGGATAACCATTTGTCTGAAGTGGTGTAGGGTTTCCTGCCTAAGGAGGGGGTTGGACCTCCAAGGTCCCTTCCAACTCTGTTATTCTATTCTGTTCTGTTCTGTTCTGTTCTGTTCTGTTCTGTTCTATTCTATTCTATTCTATTCTATTCTATTGCTATTCTATTCTATTCTATTCTATTCTATTCTATTCTATTCTATTCTTTATTGGAACAGTGCTATTTTATTGTGCTATTTTATTGTGAGTTGGACTAAGGAGAAATTTTCTAAGGGTGAGACCAATCAAGTTGGCCCTGCCCACTCAGTCACATGACCACCCAGCCATGCCTTCCGAGCCTGTCATTAGGGCAGGTTGTTAAACTATTTGAATCTCACCACTGGGTCAAATTATTCTCCAAAGCACCAGAGGGCAGGACAAGAAGCAATGGTTGGAAACTAACCAAAGAGAGAAGCAACATAGAATTAAGGAGAAACTTCGTAACTGAGGATAATTAACCAGTGGAACAGCTTGCCTCTAGAAATCGTGGGTGCTCCATCACTGGATGTTTTTAAGAAGAGTTTAGACAGTCACTTCCAGTACCTGAAATAGTATAGGTTCTCCTTCTTGAGCAGGGGGCTGGACTAGAAGACCTCTAAGGTCCCTTCCAGCTCATTCATTCTATTCTATTCTAAGATTGGATATTTTGGGGGCAGGGACAGAATGACTGTTATAACTCAATATTTAAAATGTGTAATTTATCTAATTATTTTTTTAAATCAAAGTAGAAGTATACATATAATATACTTCTCCACAATACCTAACTTAGATCATAGCAATTACTTTTATCAAATACTGCATTTTGCAAAAAAGTAGCAATCCATTGGCCTTGATAGTTTTATTTGGTCACTGCATCATGCTGTGGACATATTTTATTTATTTATGTCCCGCCTTTATTATTTTTGTAAATAACTCAAGGCGGTGAACATGCTCCTTTGTCCTCCTACCTTTCCCACAATATGGGGAGGTAGGTTGGGCTAAGAGAGAATGACTGACCACAGTCACCCAGCTGGCTTTCATAGGAAGGGAGGACTAGAACTTGTATGGGTATACTGTGTATATACGCACAATGATAATAAACTTTATATATATTTAACTTACTTTCTCTTGGTTTCTAGGCTATCACTGCTGACTTATTTTGTTTTGCTTTTAATTATTTTTACGTTAAGGGAAATAATAATATATGGGAAGTATTTACAACCCTGAAAGATATGCAGTGAAAATCAGTTTTACAAATCTTTTCATTTTTAGAATAATTTTATTAAACTTATCGAAGTATAAAATACAAATGAAAATCAAAATAGTGGGAAAAGGGAGAAGGGAAAAGGGGAAAGAAAGAAATGTAGGGTAAAGTGGGAAAAAAGAAAGAAAAGCATTAACTTCCTACCCTTTTTAGTGCAGTAGAATAAAATGATAACATACAGCCAGGTGTGAAATGCTCCCGGTTCGGACTGGATCACCCGATCCGGTAGCAATGGTGATGGGTGGTTCGGAGAACCGGTAACAAAAATCCCTGCCCCACCATGCCCAGCTGAGCCGCGCAATCATCAGAGGTTTTTTAAAAAAATCCGGTAGCGATGGCGGTGGGTGGTTCGGAGAACCAATAGCAAAAATCCCTGCCCCCCCCATGCT